TTGCCCCTTATTTTTTTATCGAAAAAGTCACTAAAGTGTTAAGAGAATAATCATTAACCCTTTCAAATACATTTTTAATTTCCCTCCCAAACCATTTTAAAAGTATCGTGTCTTTTCTGCCTCATATAAACTCTGGCTACACAACGGCTGCCACGATTTTGACATTTCTCATATCTGCAGTGATTTTCCAAAAATGTCGATAAAATTGCGATAAATGTTGTTTATGAATCCCATGAATAGGTTTCTGCTAAAGCTGTGTTTTCTTTAGCTACTTTGAGCCACTGATTAAACAGCTTGTTATTTTTGTGGATTAAAGTGTGTTTTTGTTGTTAGAGCATTCAGCCTGGACACAATCTCTGGGCCTGAAATGATCTTTAGAAAGTGCTCATCAATGCGTGGAAGAAATTGCTCGGCCAAATTGCTTTGAATTGTGCATAGATGCAATCAGTCCTCCAGCGAAAGAAAGACAAAATGGCGGGAGATGCTTGTCGTGAGTGCAGGCAGTAATTTTCCTTTTTCATACACACAAAAAAAAGGACGGGAAGCTTGAAACATGGATAATGTGTTGTAAAAAAGTAAAAAATGGCAAAGATGAATGTAAAAGTCAAGACACACGCTGGCAAATGATCCAAATGATTCAGGAAAGAAAATTGGCAAAAGAAAATCAAAACAGGTAAAAATCGTGTCTCGGGTGCAAGATAATATAAAGTTCTCAAACACGAATCAATCAGTTCAAAAACTACTTGGAGTCTGTCTGAAAAGGGAACTGTTTTTACTGTTTTGAGAGAAGGGAATGGTTTCAAAGAGGCGGTTAATTCAATCCAGCTTGAGACTTTACTGATACTCTGAATGTTTAATAATGTTTCAGAATGTAAATGTGCTTTTGAGATTCTTAGCTTCTAAAGTTGGGATGCAAAAGTCGCAAAGTGTCGTCTTAGCTCTGGCTTCATGTGACATCACAAGAGCCTATAGCTTCAAATGAGGGTGGAGGGCAGCTCAAAGATCGTTTCTATAAGTATGGTAACTTATAATTATTATCATTATTACTGTGGTAAATCAGTCTTTTAATTGAGTCTTAGTTTTAGGGCGGAATTTGTTGTAATTCCTGAGCCAATCCACATAAAAAAAAGTTAGAAATAGAGTCATAGAGTTCTACATCTTCTGTGGTCTAATTAGTTTTGTCTAGTTAGTTAGTTCAGTAAGGCCAGTGCTGATCCGAGACATGTAGGGACAGGTATTAACGTTCATGGTGGGACAGTGGTCATCCCGCTCCTATGGGTCAGAGGCTCCGATGTGTTTCTTATCATTTCATTTCTGTGTTCTAACTGTTTGATTGAGTCTTGTTACAATTTAGGGCTATACACATTCATTGAATTGAACCTGAGATGGAATCACTATCAAATAATGAATGATCTAAGGAAACATTTGGAAAATATTTATTTCAAAGATTGCCTCTTTCCCATAGAGTTGTGTTGGGAGCTACAAATGAAAGAGGCAGTGGTGAGGATCCAGGACACTATATTTTTCAACATTTATGGACATTGGTTTCTACCCCTTATGGACCCATGTCTCTGTATTTTTGTCATTCATCTCTTGTGTTTGATTCTTTGATCTGTGTTGGCGAACTGACGGTTTTAGTTTTAGTCCTCCGTGATAACTACTGCTGTGATTTAGGGCGATACAAGAATACAGTGAATTGCATTGAATGGAATTGAATACTGAAATCTACAACCTCCCTTACTCTATTCGTTACCACTTTTCTTTGACTGTTGCACCCAGAGCCAAAGCATTTCCAATTACTTGGGTGACATGGGTTCAATGTGGGCCGCGTTTGATGTGGACTTTTTCGGAGTCTGAAAAATGTGCATAAGGCAGAGTTTAGATGCTCAATCACTCACTGTCTGCTTTTGGCCGAGGTGGCTGACAATAGAATCCAAAAGAGAATATTGTAGAAGTAGACTGAGAGGATTGCCTTTTAAACAAACAATCTTCCCGTGTTGTTTTGCGATAGGTGTCGGGGTGAGCTGAGGACAGACGATCGTGTTTACTTTCCTCAGGCAGGGGATTCTGGGAAACGTTGTGTGTCGATGAAAGCGCTTTTTGAGGATTTGGAAATAAATACTGAAAATTGAGAAGGGAAATCGTGTCAACATAAACAGTGTCTTCCAGAAAGTGCGCTGAAGCTAATAGCGTTTAGCGCCACTGTCACTTCAGAGAATATGTGTTGAATATTATAGTTTTATTACTTCTGTTGTTTTGTCTCGACGCAGGAACGGAGCGTACTTTGAACCAGTGTTGGAGGATAGATCAGGCTTTATCTACTTTGACATACTTTATATCAGTGCTTCAAAATACCAAGAGTGGGCAAATGAAAGATGACACTGTAAATGTATGGTCAAGGTGTTTTGCGACACAACATTTACTTTGAATATGCAGTGTAGTGACAACACAGGTTTGAAAATGCTATCATGAGTTAATGTGACTGTGGAAATAGTATTTTTCTTTGCAAATTATTACAAAAGGAAATCCATTCAAATGCTTCATAAGGTCAATCCAGTCTAGAGCTGTAACAATTATTTAATTAGTTGTTTTTGAGTGTTGGGTTGTGTTTTTATAGCTTCATTTTGCATAATGTTTACTACTGAATCAGTGAATATGGGATATTTTAAAACCTATTTCACCATAAAAAAGCTGAGCTGATGCCTCTGAAGATGCAGTGTTTCACAGAGAGTTGGTTAATTAAAATACTGTTGTTCTAACAAAATTATCTGAGTAATAAAAAACTTTTCTAAGCAAGTGAAGTATAATCCATTATAAATCAATCAATCAATGTATTTATAACTGGACCTAAAATCTTGCGTTCCTATGTTTTGTCTTGACTCTGGGACCAGCAGGAGGCCAGTCCCTGTGCTCCTCAGAGTCCCAGCAGGAGGCCAGTCCCTGTGCTCCTCAGAGTCCCAGCAGGAGGCCAGTCCCTGTGCTCCTCAGAGTCCCAGCAGGAGGCCGGTCCCTGTGCTCCTCAGAGTCCCAGCAGGAGGCCAGTCCCTGTGCTCCCCGTTGGTGCATATGGTGCTAACATGTCATGAATGTACTTTGGTGCGAGGTCATAAAGAGACTAGTTGTGATGAATCTCTTAACCCTTTAAGCGCCAAAGTCGCAATATTGCGACAAGCAACATTGCTCACTTAAACAGGCTGTATGTAAAAATGTGGTGCAGAATCTTGTTAATACTTTTCACCAGGGGTTAGTGGACATGTGTGCCTGTAATATGAGCAGCATTTGTGGGTGTGGTTATATTGAAAGTTTTTGAGTAAATTGAGTTCGTAAAACACCTGCGGCGCAGCAGCGCGGAGGCGAAGCAGCAGCGGTAGAGCTGAGAGGAGCGAGAGCAGAGCAGAGGGAGAGAGGGTTTTTTATTTTACTCACGAGGTCTTCAGTACCAGAGAAGTACTTGGTCTGGTACTGGCTCACTCAGATTCAGAGGAGGAAGACACGCAGGTGTCCAGTGAAGCAGACACGGACATTATTAGTGACGGGGAGACCGCGCCATATAGTCCACAATCAGCCCCAGTACAGCGGCTGCTTGTCCTCCGTGTGGCCGCGGTAGAAGCATTCTGTGAACGCCAAACAGGGGCTGTGGTCGAGGCGAGGGTACAGGGGCATCATAACACCGGGCATGTGGGAGAAAGTAGCGGGGGTAAACATCCACGGGGAACACGGGAGACGCGGGAGAGCCCGGGAATAAAACACATCGCTTTTCGCGTTCACTGCCTTTACCAACAGTGATGATGAGGATCAAGGCAGTTCTTGAGAGAAAATAATCCACAAAAGTGGATCAGAAGTGTTGAAGAGCCTGTTGTTGCTTGTTGAGACGATCTGACATGTTCTGAGCCCATTCATTTCATCTCTCTGTTTCTAAACCATAAATCCAGGAGCCTCATTTCCACCGAGAAAAATAGTATGCCCACCACTTCTTTGAAAGGGAAATATTGAAACCAAACTCCAGATTTCATGACTGTAAACTATAAAGAGAGCTGTCTTGATCACTGAAGGTCTATGAAAATAATACAATTCTGTATGGCCGCGAACCAGTGCTAAAACATTATCTATAATCTGGATCAGGGAATTTATTTCTATCCCAAATTCATTTCATACTAAAGATATTTCACACTGACTGTTTATAGTATTCCCTGATCTAAAAAAAACTCCCAAGCTACAGCTTTTTGAAGTTTTTATACAATAATTAACATTTTCCAAAATGGCCGCCACCTTGATGACGTCACAATATGCAAATTAGATGACGAATCAACTTCCATCCCAAAGTTTGGTTCAAACTGAAGATATTTCTAATATACAGTATGCCTTTATCTCAAACCATTTTAAAGTTATAGCCTTTTGAAATCTTGAAATCAAAATTGTATATTTTCTTGAAAAAACTCTGGCGCCTAAAGGGTTAACATTTCACAGCTGTAATGCATTCTACTGTGATGGTAGCTCTATTATTCAACGGCTTTTATGTGTCCCTTTGTTATTATGGCTAAAGCTCGGCAAATCCATCTCCATCCTGACCTCACATGCACCATATTTTCTTACCCAACCTATGGATAAAAAGCACAGGGCATGACTCAAGGCTGCACTCTAACATCAACGCGTTCTTCCAGCAATGCCTCAGTGCCACTTCTGAAAAGTCTTCTTAATGTCTGATATGATGGTGTAATTCTTCAGCGGGGTCACATGGCTCTCGGCTATTAAAACGCTGGCAGACGGGAGAATCATAAATCCAGCGAGATCCGCCATCCGCAGATTAAACGGAGAGAGCTGCATACGTTTTTAAAGACGGAGCTGGTCCCACTGACAGAGCAATTATAGCCACATACACAGGCAGCTATTGGGTAGAAAAATACAGACGGCTGCACTTTGGGGAGAACTGGTGTTTTGAAAAGAACAGGCAAAGTTCAGAGCGAGACAAGTTCACGCAAACCACTGCGACGGATGCTTACCTTAAAACTCCAGTAGTTGGGCTGTTGCTGCAGACGATCGCCATAGAAGAAGAAAGCAGGAACAGAAAAGGAAAAATGGGAGTTAGTTTTGCAGGAAGTGTAAAGAGACAAACGCTGAATGGAAAAATATGCCATGGAATCAAAACATGAGTTGCTTGAAGATGCGACTTGAACAGTTTGCACTTGACTGCTTGTTCTCTTTCAATTATTCAGTCTAATCTACATACTGTTTCTTGCGGCGAAACAATCAGAAAGTCTAACAAACCAACAGCAACATTGTGCAGTTGCCACACGGCTTAAAGAACGATTACTATATATGCATTTATGATTCATTCAATCAATTAAACTAGATTCTGTGAATATTTGTGTCCATTGTTGTCCTTCGATGGTATAGAATGGGTCCGATGCTGAGGAGACATGAATCTCTGGGGAAATTAAAGGTAAAAAGGAGGATTTTCTACCTCCGGGTCGATCATCAAGACTATTGGTCCTCCACATTGTCAATCATTCTGGTGATACGAGCTCGTCCAATAAGACCAGAGAGTTTTGTTCAAAAAGTAGAGAGGGCGGTTCTTTTCCTAAAATTTGGGGAAATTCTCCGATAGTATATCTTACTTTTAGATAGATAGAAAGTGTGACAGTGTCAGAGGAGTCAGAAATAAAATTGCACTAAGTAAATAAGTAAGTAATACTTTATTTATATACCGCCTTTCACAGACCAGTCTCAAAGCGGTTTACAATTGTTATTTTTGGGCATTTGTCTCTCACTCCACACAGAGATGGGAGCGGGGCCAGTACAGGAGGCACATGCCAGAACTAATGGACATTTTTTTAGTGGTAGGGGAAACCTACGCAGACACGGGGAGAACATGCAAACTCCACTCAGAAGTTCAGACGAATGGCACGGTATAACTCAGGGGTCTCAAACTTATTTAAGGATAAAACTTTTTTCTTATTATTTTTTCTATCTATTATGAGGCTAATTGATATGAGTTTGGATATTCTTTCTGAATAAAATGAATTTATCTTTGGATTGAGCAAAAACTGGACTAAATATAAAGAAGAGCTGGATTTGAAGACTGATATTGAGAGAAATTACTTTCAAATGTGAGTTTAGCTGTAATTTCATAGAGTAGTGAAGTAAAGGTGGATGCTTCATGTCTTCAGCTCTGTGCTTCTGCTTGTTCCATTTATTTCTCTTTTATTAAATAGTATATAGTTTTCTTCAGTATCATATTTTGGGTCCTCCTTTTTGTATTGTGACCTATCTAAAAACAGCGTCTACCATCTGCATTATTGGGTAAAGAGCAGCTAATGAAAGAGGGATTTTCTCCGAGCCGTCCAAGCAGCACCGGCTCCGTCGTTTGTCACCCGTCATGTTTTTGGATTTAAAACCTGTGACCTGTATTCAGACCAGGTGTCATGGCTGATTCACAATGCACATAAGGTGCTAAGGTGTTTTTAAATGGGATTACAAAACTGCTTTAACCAGGAAATGCTCTGGGATGACCCACACAAAAATCCAATAATGATGAAAGGAGAATGCATAAAAACTGGTTTGGAAAAGGATCATGAATAATTTGAACTCTAGGTTTTTTCTTATCTTCAGGCAATTTCAGTCCATTCAGCTCCATTTCATCAGAACAGTCATTACTTTCCCAGAGACGACAGTCAAGCTACGAGTTATTACAGAGGTGCCTTTCAAAATAAGCCTTTATTTCATGACTTTGTGCTCTGAACGACTAGAAATGGGAATGATTATCTCGGAAAAACAACTGCAATTAGCTGTGGCTTCAGGACATTGTAGGTCAGGGGTGCTCACACTTTTTCAGCATGCGAGCTACTTATAAAAGGATCAAGTCAAAATGATCTACCTACTACAAAAATGCAAATCATATATTTCAAAAAATATTCTACAATGTATGTTTATGTACATGCAAAACCGCATGAGCCAATATAGCACAACACAACACAATTACCTATGTACATTTTTTGTCATTACCCGAGTTTACTCTGATGACTTGCACTGAATTGAATCGGCCAGGGATGCATAGTCCGGAAAATTGGTGGTAACTCGCTGAGAAGTTTGTCGTGGTTTAGCTTTCCTGCACTGAGCGCGGTTGTTTGCGCATGTGCAGTCACCTAAGTGTCAGTAAAACATTACTGAGTAAAACACAGATGTCATTTGACTGTGGTGCCATGTCCATGTGCCATGCCTATTTTTTTTAAATCCAAATATTTCCCCTCCTCCGTTTATAAAATAATTTGCATCCACACATCTGCGTTATCAATCACATTCGTAACATTCCAAATATGTGCGTCTCTTACGTCCTGCCCTGCGTTGGGGAAAAACACAGAAGTGGGCGGAGTTCTGATGCAGACGCCGGTAACGGCACTTTTACAGTCATAGAAGACACTCAGAGTAAAGAGTAAGACGTATGTTTACAAGCACTGACCCCGTCCTCAGCCCTGGTTTGGTCCTGGTTTAGTCCTGGTTTAGTCCTGGTTTAGTCCTGGTTTGGTTGTTTTCGAGCGTGAGTCCCCGTGATCACTTTGCTGCTCTCTGATGTGGAGCGAGGATGTTCGCTGCTGCGAGCATCTCACAGCGAACAGTTTTTAAGGTAGTATGATCCATGCTTCAGTGATCAGAGGAATTTAGGGGGGTACTGTGGCGTGCGAGAACGCAAAACTCTGGTTATCTCTGTCTACACACAAATGCATTAACGGAGTTTTCAAAAATCTCCACTTTGCCCGGAGTTTTTTGTATATATTTGTTTAGAATGTGTAATTTTTTATTTATTTAATGCGATCTACCAATACTACCTTTGCGATCGACTGGTAGATCGCGATCGACGTATTGAGCACCCCTGCTGTAGGTCTATAGTTTAAAATTGCGGTGAAGAGCAGCTGTAAAATATTCCCCCACAACTAGTAAGTGTCCAGATATATATTTTACCAAGATTTTACTTTTTTCCAGTATATTTCACCCATGACAAAAATCTGTCGAAAAGTTTCAGAGCTAGTTTCAAAAGAACCATAAGTTTGGACCACGTTCCCTCCCATCCGGGTGTCATTATCTTGTCTCTACGCTGAAAACTTGGTCCAAATAACTACTTCTGGAACTTTTGAAATCCAAAGAATGAAAAACACTGAATACAGACTAGTCAAAAAAGATTGTTATTTCATTGTGATAGTAATCGTTTTGTCAGACTGGCTTCATACAGTTGGAGTGTGACAATATATTGATATGGTGATGTATCAATATGCTTATGCTATATATCGATAATTTTTTATTTTTTTCTATTTTTTAAAAAGCTTTATTTGAAAAAGAAAAGTGTCGATACTTAATATATGGCTACATTACACATTCTAAATTTGGGCATTTGTCTCTCACTCCACACAGATGGGAGCGGGGCCAGTACAGGAGGCGCATGCTAGAACTATTGGACATATTTTTAGTGGTAGGGGAAACCGGAGTACCCGGAGGAAACCTACGCAGACACAGGGAGAACATGCAAACTCCACTCAGAAAGGCCCTGGTCCGACCGGGATTCGAACTCAGGACCTTCTTGCTGAGAGTAGTAGTAATAGTAGTAATCTTTATTTATATACCGCCTTTTCACTGCAGATCTGAGTCTCAAAGCGGTTTTACAATTGTTAATTATGGGCATTTGTCTCTCACTCCACACAGAGATGGGAGCGGGGTCGCCGGTACAGGAGGCGCATGCCAGACATGTCTATTGGACATATTTTTAGTGGTAGGGGAAACCGGAGTACCCGGAGGAAACCTACGCAGACATGGGGAGAACATGCAAACTCCACTCAGAAAGACCCTGGTCCGACCGGGATTCGAACCCAGGACCTTCTTGCTGAGAGGCGAGAGTGCTATCCACTCAGCCGCCTCTATCCATTTATCTTGAAATTAAGTGTATTTTTTCACTTAATGAATGCCATAAATGTAAGATAAGATAATTGCTGCATCGTCATATTGTGAGCTTTGTATCGCACATCGTATCGAATCGTGAAGTACCCTGAGGTCCTTACCCCTATCATACAGACACACACAGCCCTCTCCAGTCTCAATGCTCAGAACTATTAATGATGTAATTATCCAGCAGATACTGTAAGTGACTGTGAGGCCTGTGATGCTGTTTGTGGTGATTTGTGGAGATCTGGCTCCGCTGCTGCTTTTTTCTGTGTCTGGTCTCACTAATAAACCTTAACCACTGTTATCAGCACAGAAAACAAATTCCTCCTGCATCTGTCCTGCTATTTCTCCGAACTGAACTGGGAATTGAGCCGTAAACGTATAATACAAATGATTGTTTCTCTGCTTTCTTTCATAGATTAGATTTGTTTGATAAAAATCCACCAATTTTGCATTTGCGAATCCCTGATTTGTGTTCTGTATTTATTCAAGTGTTCTTCTCTACTTCTGCTGCATTTGTTTATTTCTATTTGAGCTTGAAACAGAAATGGTTTTTGTCGATGTGCATTTTACAATATTTACGATACAAGTCTATTTATTGTATTTGCATTTACGATCAAACACCATCATGAAAACAGGTGCATGCATTTCATAAATATATAAACACATTTTCCATTTGGTTTTTTTCAGACAAGCCCGAAATGGAGTCGAAGGAAACAAAACGTCTTGATCCACAAACTGCATTTAATTATTAGTTAGAGTAAGAATGTATGTTAATCATGATATTTGGGCCGGGGAAAAACATGTATGTATATGTATGAGAGACATATTTATGGCATGTAGTGGAACATTCCAGCCAGTGAAAATTTTGGGAAGGAAGTGGATCTACACACGGAAAAGTTGGACTAAATGAAATATATCCTCAACAGGCGATGCATTTAAATACTTAAAGATTAGAAGAATTAGAATTGTGGGGCAACAGTAGCTCAGCTGGTAGAGCAGTGGCCTTTGAGCCTGGAAGTCATGAGTTCGATTCCCACCATGGGACCTACTCCTACTGTCGTTGTGTCCTTGGGCAAGACACTTAACCCCACGTTGC